ATAGGAAGTTAATACAGATGGTTAATTGAATAAATACACAGATGGCGACGAGATTCATGCGCTGGCGACAACATTTCTCAATACTCCTCTACGATGATGACGAACATGAAGATAATAAATAATAATTATTATAATAATGATATTGATAATGATAAAAATTAAAAATAAACAAACATTTGTTGTTTTTCTATGAATATATTTGACTCGTCCTTTGTCATTTCAAATAGTACAGGTTAATGCGTACATAAGATGCAAAGTTCTTCTAGTGCTACAAAGGATGGCGAGGCGAATAACTGGGAACAGTCAAATAAGCACTCAATGGAACAGTCAAAGTAGCGTTCAATAGATATAGATGTATATGTATAACAGGGCAGAGTAAAATCGAAACAAATTGAGTGTATTAAATGGTTTTGTGACGTAAGAGACTAATTAGGGCGTCTGTCTGTTGAATAAGTAAGTATCTTTACTTGAAACTGTCTTCATGTGAAAACGTTGACTAGCTATTTCCATTCAGCTGAAGTAGGTGCTCGTAGAACGTGACGATAAAAGTATGTCGTTACATATCTTCGTTCTAGGATTCACAAACAATAGCCATGGGCTGCTACACTAAAACACATTAAATGGTAGTACAACTTGTGTAACAACGATTAATTTCTACTACATTCATGTTATGGTTCACAACTGATTTAATTTATTCAATCATATACGTTATGAAGTAGATGCCTGTGGCAAAATATAGATTTGGTAATATTTAGAATAAGTTGCCATAATTGCCATATAATATAATATCTTTTGCGTAGTCTATATCAACCAGTTTCTTGAATTTCTTTTTTTTTCCACTTCATGTTTATTTTTGCAAACTACGTGTGGTATTTTGCAAAAGAGTTTGAAACATTAGTAATATGATTACTCAGATCATAAATATTGGCAAAATCACAATGCGCCTATGAGTACAAGGTAAAAGTTTTTTAAAAAAAAGTTCTACACAATACACAAAGCATCTACCGTACGCATTTTACGGTGATTTTATTAACTGACCGGTTGGAACGCACTCTGCGCCATGTGAATTATTGGGTGATGCTGTGGTCCCCAGGTCTTAGGAGAGTCATACCAGTTCTGGTATCTTGCACGTGTCAAAAGCCAACTGTCTTTTTGCCCAGACTCATAAAATGGGTAGTTAGTGTGGATTAATTTGGAACTCGCAGAAAAGCTCCTTGGGGGGGTTACGGATTAAGAAATGGATAAGGGGACAGGCTTTATAATGGGAAGCGCATCTAACTCTTGCTAATTTTAGTCTAGTTCACAGTAGTAAAATTCTTAAACAAATAGTTGTAAGATCCTCTTTACTAGTAATCTGTAGAAGACTTGTAAGCAAATGGCGAGCTAGCAATGTCTAAAACTATTGGCGGACCTTGTGATTCTACAAGTTGGGAGACTGAAGGACACTGCTGATTATTCTATTGAATACACGGATGCTTGCAGATCAGTTGATAATCACTGTTGCTGGTGCAGTTGTTGCTGTTATCCCAGGCTTCTGCTATGATTCCAATTTCGCCTAGATCTGATGCTTTTTTTTTAAAAAGGCAGCTGAAGGTGTTGAACCGAAAAAACCACGCTGTTCCTTATGTTTTATTGCTATTTTAATGTTGCAACATGTTGGAAGTAATGAGGGGAGGGGCAAATAACAATATATTTATTCAGGCTTTTTTTAGGAGGGCATTAAAAAAGTTGGTAAGTTCCTTCGAATATGCTTTAGCTAGTTTTACGTAGTCTCCATTCACATTTATGCGAGTCAATAAATGAATGGTAAGTGAACAAAGATGGTAATTTCTCGTGACGTAGTTGAGAACTATCGCTGACATTTAAGATGTACAACTTCGGTTAAGAAGTAACTAATGACGCGCTAATCAGTGACTGGCCTAGCGACGACAACAACTTTATCAATCTCAATTTGAATCACGCAATGTCTAATACCGCATAAAATAAAAAGATACCTTATAAGATCATAAATAGATAATTCAGCTAATTATTAAGGCCATTTTTTAATTTAGCATTGGAATGCAAATAATGGGATGCCTAAATCTATTTGATGTCGATTTCGAGGGCTATATACATATAAATATTTTTCTGCTTTGGCATAAATACTCAAAGAGATGGTTAACCAAGCGAAACATAAGGATGGCCCGAGGTTTCTATACGAAATTCAAGATCACATTTTATATTTTTAATTATAAACATTTTTATATTCTTTCAATGCCTATACTCACAAAACAACTTTCACAAAACAAACATTTAATCTGGCTAAAAAGATACTGAAAGTGGGCTCTTTATGCAAAAGTTCGTTCCAATGCATGCTAATATTAGGATCTAAAAATGCAATTCAGATTTCCTAGAAGTTCTAGCACGAATGAACTCTTAAAAAAATTACATTTTTTCTTGATCTTAGATAAAATGCATAAACATCTCAATTATAAATGGTTACGTACCCAAATAAGACAACAGAATCAGCTCACGTTTAAGGAAGTTTAAAATGGCTCATTGCTTTTAACGTAACCGGGATGTGATGCTGAGGCGGTCAACTAATGACTTATATTATGATCGTCTAAAAAACATAGACGCATAGACAACGTATATGCAAACGAACGCCATCGCAGCGCATAAATTTGATTTCATTCTTGAAAAAAGATAATTCAATATAGGTTCAATCGGCTTTGCATTTTTTCCACGCAGCGCGAGCATAATTGTTGACAGGGGAGTGAATTCTATGACAAAATTGCCTTATTTTTCCAAACTAGTGATAATTTCCAAGGCCTTATTAGTAACGGAGGCTCGCATTGAGTACAAAATATTTATCGTGTTGTCCCTTTTACAAAATGTCCATTTTCTTCATAGAATACATGAAAAGTACTTGTTAAGAGAACCTAAAGGTGTTGAGAAATACCGCCATTATTTTAACTGTTCACAGATAAAAACTTTTTCTTCGAAAACCAGATTATCTTCTTGCGCTGTGCTAATCTAAAAAATTAAAAAAAAAGCATGGAAATGTGCTATCAACTTTTAACGACTGTAAATAATGTCATCGTTGTAATGTTTAATAAAATTTAATATGCAATCTATATGAAAGTCAAAATTGCTTTTTATAAAAGAAAATATTCGACTTATTTCGTAAAATCACGATGTGGTCCATCGATGACGAAACTAAAACAATTTTAACAAAAAATGCCCATATAGAAAACCGTATGGAGGCTACAGAGAGGCTATAAAAATAGTAATAATAACATAAACAATATACTAAAAATATTAAGCTACTACTGCAAAGCAATAAACAGAAAAAAGAGGAAAACAATCTTAGATGTAGCAAGTTGAATGTTTCCATGTCTAGGGAAAGTTTGTGCCTCAAAAACCTGAATGAGCTCCTTTGTTAGCTTTGAGTAGCTGGTTGTCGGCCTTTTCTGAATGAATGTACGTAACTATTGATAGCTTTCTATTAACGTAGAAGCCTCTTAACGATCATTTAGTGACCAGACAGTGGGGAACAAAACCAAAAACGGCTAGTGAAAAAGATATAATTAGCATATGTATACATTTTAGTTGCTAGATGAATTTTATATTGCCCCATTTGTATCCAAAAAATGTTTTTTGATGACGCCGAGTCGGGACTGAGGAAAGTTGTAGTGCTTACCGCCTTTTTCTTAACGTTGCCGGCTCTACGGGCGGTACTAGACTTGGCAACGGCTGCCTTTCGAGCTGGGGATATATCCCTACTTGTCTTACGGACGGGTGACTTAGCAGCTGCGGGCGCACTGCAAACGGGAGACTTGCCATGGCCACGTATTGCTGGCTTTAGAGCCGGTGATTTAGAAATCGCGCGCGCTTTCCGCACCGACGAGTTTGCTACCCGGTCTTCTAATGAATCAATTTCGGCCGAAGTTCGCGTACGCCCCTTTTTGACGGCGGTTTTATCAGAACTAGCACTAATTTTTCCATCATATTTCAGTCCTTCCGCAGTTACACCATCTTTAAGGATGCTGCGCAATTTATCATAGTCCGGTTTATCGGCAAATCCCATATTTGCCACTACTGTCATGAAGTCAATCATGGGCTATTTTTGCTGTGTATGCTAGCCACGACTAGTTCAGGCCCGTCCTCATTCCACGGTACCCCCAAAAATAAGTGCTTATTTAGCTCGATTTTCTAAAACCATTTTCATCCATATATATAT